AGGATAAGATGCCTCCAGTACTTGGAGGATCATGGGTTATAACTACTTATAAACCCCAATTATAAGGTACTTATAGCCTTACTTACTAAGTCCCATGATCCTCCAAGTAGGGCAACCGAAGCCAGAAGAGTGCTGCTACCGGCGATACGTTGGAGTCCGGGTCGATCTGAATGGCATTGCCGGGCGTTAAGGATGGTCCTCATACTTGCTGCAAAAGATACTATAGGGGCCTTAATAATTACCAATTCTATTTTGGGGGGGCCCCTTACTATAAATATAGTATAATGGGCCCCAAAACTCTATTCTAATTATTAAGGCCCCGACATTATACTTCAGGAAGCTTGTTTGCTGCGGTATATACCCGTTGCACCTATCGGCTATTCTGTCCGTGCATACAGACAGAGCGACAGACGGAGGGACATGTGTATGAACACAAATTAAAGTTGTGGAGATGCTTCCGAGCCTTTCGCCAGACTGGATTTTGTGTGGACGCTTCCCCGAGCCAGAGCGCCGCAACATGCTGCATTTGGTGTCCTGTTGTGGTTTCAGGCTTGCGAGAATTCCAGGTGTAAAAGGCTTGCGGGAATGACAGTCATGACCTAATGGATGAGGTGTTGCTGTGTCGTCACACTTAAATAAAGACGGAGATCTTGAGAGTGTGGGAGCTTTTCGTTTCGGCAGGAGTCAGTATGTCAAGGACACCTCGATGCTGACGGTTCCTGGTAGCATGTGCATAACGTTTCTAGAACCTTAAATTTCCGAAACCTGCGTCTTGTCCGCAGCCGCACAAGTGCTCGAGCTGTTTGAGCACAGTGCCCCATCAGCGTGGGTTGCTCCCACATTATTTTTTGTGAAGGAGCCCGGTGGAGATATAATTACAGGCATGATAGAGCAAGGGGTCATTCTCTTCAGGCACCTGGAGAGTTTCGGGGCTTCGGGGATTGGGCTGAGTGGGATTTTAAAGCTTTAGAGTGCCAGTGCTGCAGGCTTCAGGATCTAGGGTGCTCAATGTTTGGATGTAGTGTTTTGTATAGAACTTACCCAAACTATGTTTTAATTGTTGACGAGCCAAGGGGTTTGGCCTTTGGCACTCAGACTATGCTTGATTCAAGCTTACCAGGTCATGGCTAGTGTTTCTTTCGCCGTTTTGGTGACCCATTTCAGGTTTCCATGGAGTTTCAGGAACTAAGGCTCGAAGAAGGACTCGATAGAGTAAGGTTCGCATTCAAGCACCCCATAACATAATTTCCTTCCTTGCCTTGTTGTTTCATTCCCCCCTGCAACGGCGCAGGATTCAGCGGCTGCGCTTGAAGATGGACGCCGGCTACCTGCAGAAGGCACTTCGGGCACCATAGCTGTGCTCTAGGATTTCACCGTGTCGGAGCTCTTACAGCAGTGGTTGCAGTTCTGGATCTCGTCACGATGGAGTTCTCACGGGCAGTAGGTGTAGTAGAAGAAGTCAGAGAATCGCAACTGCAAAAGTGTGGAAGCAGGGCCCCCGCTGGCCTAAACCCAGAGTATCCCTTTCACCCCAAACCTTGGGAGCCACAAAACCCTAGTATGCACATCTGCCCTCAACCTCAACAAGCAGCCCTTTCGCCTTCACCCGGCAAGATAAACGCCCTACATCCCGGCAAGGTCTAGGTCCATACCAAAACTTGAATGACCTGATTGAAGGATTATTGGCACTTTTAGGAACAGGAGGACTGGTGAGTATGGGGTATTGGTCACAAGCAATGCACCGACTGTAATGCTTACGCACCCATTTGCCTTGAAGCAATCTGCAACTTCCCATGATGAGTTTCTTAAGCCCTGTAACTTTTCCAAAACAACCGTCCATCAACTCAAGCAAGGTTTGCATTCTTTCTCATATCCCTGTTTCTTTCAAGCCCGCGGTAGAAGGTTTCAGCTCAAAGCCACAGCACTGCGATTGTCCAGTATAAGTGGAGGCCCTTCAGTACAACAATAAGCATGCAAACCCAAATCCCTACAACAAAGCGATAATATACCATAGAGCCCTCAAGCCCGTGTAGCCCTATGGATATGACAAAGAGCCCCAAGCCAAAATGTAACCGTCGAATGAGTAAACTCCAGACCGTAAGCCTTTGACTCCACCCTATCACCGTGGAGCCCTTGAAACCCTAACGCGGAGCAACGCCCTCTAAGCATCCAGGGGCCTCCCTTGAGAACTAGAGGGGTTGTGAGGTTAAGGGATTCAGGGGTTGAGGGTTTGCCATGCTGGCTTGCTACTTGATGTTTCAAGCACACGTGATACCCGAGAGAAGCCCCCGAGATCCCTCATAAAACTCATCAACCGCGCTGAACCCTAAACCCCAGAAGCCCTTCAGAGGCCACCCATGAGCCTTCGAGCACTATAGGGGTCTGAATAAGTACCTAGACTGTTATTTTGGGGGCTCCTTCCTATGATGATAGTACAATATCACCCAAAACCCCATTTTAATTTGATTCCTTACTATGATTATAGTACAATAGACCCCAAAACCCTATTCTAATTTAACTCCTTGCTATGGTTATAGTACAATATACCCAAAAACTCTATTCTGATTTAATTCCTTACCATGATTATAGTACAATATACCTATCCTAATTTAATTCCTTACCATGATTATAGTACAATATACCCCAAATCCCTCTTCAAATTTAATACCTTACTATGATTATTGATTATAGTACAATAGACCCCAAAACCCTGTTCTAATTTAGTTCCTTACTATGGTTATAGTACAATATACCCCCAAAACCCTATTGGAATTTAATTCCTATAGTACAATATACCCCAAAACCCTATTCTAATTTAATTCCTTGCTATGGTTATAGTACAATATACCCCCCAAGACCCTCTTCGAATTTTCTTCCTATAGTACAACATACCCCAAAACCCTATTCTAGCTTAATTCCTATAGTACAACATACCCCAAAACCCTATTCTAGCTTAATTCCTATAGTACAACATACCCCAAAACCCTATTCTAGCTTAATTCCTATAATATACCCCAAAACCCTATTCTAGCCTCAAAACCCTATTCTAGCTTAATTCTAACAAGTACAGGAGAGGCCCTCTTGGCTCACCTATGATTTGGTGCAGTTTTTTGGCTCCGCTTTCTGCACTTCTGGTACGCAATGTCAGAAGAAGCCGCAGCAGCTCCTTCCGACCCTCCTGTAAGGGAGCGAGTCGAGTTGCCCCAGGCTCTGTGAGTGCATGGTTGGACAGAAATGTGTGTTAGACGAAGGTAATTAGCAGTGACCGAAAAGCAGAGTTGAAAGGAAAGCTTGTCAGCCCGCCTACAGCGTTTGAAGCAAGAGCGTGAAGCTGCAAAGGTTTCTGTCTCAGTGAGGTCTTCCCGCTTGTCCTCGTTTTTGAATCTTCTGCATTCCAGGCAGAAGCCCGAAGGGTCATGAAGCAAGTGAAGCAAGAACAGCGCCGTGTCCGTAAGGCGAGGAAGTTGCGTCAACCTGTAGGTTCTGTAATTGCTGTCAAGCTGAGGCAAAGCAGGCAGCGAAGCGTTTGTCGGAGGAAGATTTGCTGAGCCTTGTCGTAGAGAAGCGCAGCGGCTGAAGATCTTCTGGGATCTGCAAAGCTTTTGAAGTTCTCCTTGCGTCTCACGATGCACCTTGCCGTGAAAAAAATAAGGTTGCAGACTGCATTACGCCATGTTTATCTTGTATTATCCTACTTAAGGAGTGATGTTGAGGATGTGGCAGAAAGTCAAACCACGGTTCGTGCCAGTGGGGTTGGAAAGCAGGGATGTTAGTAGTAGAAGTGTTCTAGGGTCGCTGCATGAAGTCCAAGTATTGTAAGAACAGGGGGTGGAGCAGCGAAGCTAACGGTCACAAGCAGTGTGAAGATGTGTGAAGGCTTTCGTCGCGCACTTGAAGTCGCGAAGCAAAATCGAGGCAGCAGACGTGTTTTTGGAGCCCTGGCAAAGCGAAAGCATCCTTAGCGCGTTTGGAGTCGCAAAGCAAAGTCAAGGCAGCAGACGTGCTTTGGGTGAGACCGTGACCACAAAATCCAAACAGCAGACGTTCTTGTTTGGGAGTCTGGCTAACGGGTCAAAGCAGCAGAAACAGTGCTTTAGGATTAAAGAACCAAATCAAAGTAGCAGACGTTGTTTTGGGGTTGCGGGACATTTCTGTCCGAAAAGTGGCCGCCGTGACACCGTTCGCCGTGGATGGAGCACATTCTCTTGGTTTTGCGCGCAGGGGGCCTTTTTAGATTGCCAAAAATGCGGATCCAGAACAGAAAATCGTAACGTTGAATGTGCTGGAAGAAAGAAAATTCGAATCTTTTACAAGGTTTCCAACGTTACGATTTTCCTTTCCCGGTCCGGATTTTTGGCAATCTATTTTGGAATGTGTGTTTTTCTTAGGTTTTGGCAGATTCGTGCTTCAAAAGTGGCAACTGTCACACGGTTTCGCTGTGGACGGAGCAGATTCCTTGGGTTTTGGTACATTCGTGTCCGAAAAGTGGCAACTGTCACACGGTTCTGCTGTAGAGAAGCCATATTCCTTGGATTTTGGCACATTCCAGTCCGGAAATGGCCACCGTCACACGGTTTTGCTGTGGGCGGAGCATGTTCGCTTGTTTTTGGCACGGTGAAAACCACAATCCTCGTAACAGTTGTCATCTTGGCCGCTTGTTTCGCGGTATGTGCGTGGAGCAGGTATATTTCCCGGACTCCGTGTGACAGTTGTCCTTTTTGCAAGCTGTAGTCGTCTATGTGGCCATGAAGACATATTGTTGACAATTGCGAAGGTTGTGGGCTCGCGTTGAGAAGGGGCAACAAGTACCAGCTGCCAACGTAACTAGCCAGCTGCGTCTCACTAGCCACAACCGAACTTGAGTTCAAAGTCCCAGTTCCAGTGGCAAACCCGCCATGTCTTCTTCGCCCACGTCTGGGTCCTCCTCATCTTCAGATGAGGATGTACCCATGTGTGATGTTGAGGCACGTCGGTGTTCGCATGTGTAGCAGTTTTTAAAGATGTTCAACAACATATTTCGTCCTGAGGGCGAGTCCTCCTCCAATGCTGACGAGCCCGCAGATCCTAAAGCCCGTGCTCGCTGTGGACAGTTTGTTTGGCCTTGTCCCCGTCAGTACCTGGCAGATGCAGCTTCCCGCAAATCTCGCAATTGCTTGATTCCTGCGGATCTCAGCAACGAGGAAGCTGGTAAGATGTTCCTTCAGGCCCTTGCAAAATGCAACCAGCAATCGAATATCAGTCGATTGCATGTCTTTGACGAGCCCCACAAGAAGTATGACAAGGAGACGGGCCAACGAGCCCGACACAAACACTTCATCTTCAAATTTGTCAGGCCGTTTGCTCATGTAAGACTGGGTCATCTACTTGCGCAGGGTGGTGTGCATGGCCATTTCTCTTTCAACTTGGTCGGCTACCAAGCGTACCTCAAGTATTGTTTGGTGGCCAGTGCTCACAAGCTTGCAGCAGACTTAGACAAAGATCCATGGCATTGGCCTTCTCATGTGACCACACCACAGCTCATGCAACTTTGTCAACAGTCTGTACCCCAGATGGAAGCCCGTAATGGCCAACCTGGAAAGAAGCGAACCTTGATGACATTTTCAGAAATTACGGATGCATTTGTCGAACATTCTGTGCAAACTTGCAAAGACGCTTGGCAGCTTGCTAAAGCACGAAAGATTTCAGGAGATGAGACGCTCTGGAACACACTCGGCGCCCAAGCAAATGTCGCAGGTTTGGTTCACAAAGTTTTGAGTGCGTGGAATGCTGAAAACATGGATTCTGGAAGCTTCGTGGCCGTTCCAGATTTTCTGTTGTCCAGCTTTGTTCCTTTGCCGCAGATCCATGAGCGCTTGGCTTGGTGGTTGCAAGGTGGTTTCAAAGAGGTCACTTTGATTTTGGAGGGACGCGGCGGCCTAGGTAAGACGGAATTCGCCTGCGCATTGATGCACGCTTGTGTAGGACAAGCCGGATTTCATTTCATCAATCGTCTGGACCGCCTACGCGACATCAGCTTCGGCCCCAAACAAGGCTTGGTGTTCGATGAAGCCTGCATGGTAGAACGCTCGATTGACGACGTCAAGGGTCTTGTCGACTTGTCAAAGACCCGTGACATTGTGGCCAGAAATGCTGATGGAACCATTCCCAAGCAAACCCCGCGCATTTTCTCCACCAATTGGACTTGGGATCGCTTTTGGCCGAAAGAAGTCGGCACGGTGGAACACAATACGGCCATCAGTCGACGAGTTCTGTGGGTGCGTGTAAACGAGGACATCCGTTTGCTCGCGAATTCCCATGGACCTCTGCGCCAGGAGGACGAGGACGAGGACGAGGAGGATGTGTTTGGACACAACCGCGAGCCAATGTGAGGTTGTGCCTGCCACGCAATTCATAATTCGAATGCTGCATCCTTTTCGCCGTGGAGCTTGAAAAACACCAGCAGCTGACGTGTTTCAGGGTCTGAAAGCCCGAAACCGAAAATCAAAGTAGCAGACGCGTTTTTTGGGGCCTTGAGACTCTGCCAACAAAATCCAAACAGCACACGTTCATTTTGGAGGGTCTGGCAGAAGTTCAAAGCAGCAGCTCAAAAAGACACAAGCAGCTGCCGTGTTTTAGGGACCTGAAAGCCCGAAACCAAAATCAAACTAGCAGACGCGTTTTTTGGGGGCCTTGAGACTCTGCCAACAAAATCCTAACAGCAGACGTTCATTTTCGGGAGTCTGGCCACAGATTCAATGCAGGAACTCGAAAAGACACAAGCAGTTGCCGTGTTTTAGGGGCCTGAAAGCCCGAAACCAAAATCAAAGTAGCAGACGCGTTTTTGGGGGCCTTGAGACTCTGCCAACAAAATCCTAACAGCAGACGTTCATTTTCGGGAGTCTGGCCACAGATTCGATGCAGCAGCTCGAAAAGACACAAGCAGTTGTCGTGTTTTAGGGCCCTGAAAGCGCGAAACGAAAATAAAAGCATCAGACGCGTTTTTGGGGGCCTTGAGACTTTAAACCCAAACAGCACACATTCATTTTGGGGAATCTGGCCACAGATCAAAGCAGCAGCTCGAGAAAACCCAAGCAGCTGATGTGTTTGAAATGCTTGAAAAGCGTTAAACAAAGATCAAAGTAGCAGACGCGTTTTTGTGGGCCTTGAGACTTTAAACCCAAACAGCAGACGTTCTGTTGGGGAGTCTGGCCACAAAGGCAAACCAGCAGAAGTGGTTTCGGGAAACGTTTCGATTGCAGTGAAACAGACCCAGGTTGCAGTGCGTACAGTGTGTGTAACTAGGTTCTGTACAGTTACTTGACAGCGCCTCTTGAGCGCACAAGCTTCTTGGAGCAAGCCTACGGCTAGCGGAAATGTGACTAGTCCTCGTTGAACGCAGAAGCTTCTTGGAGCTGTGATTAGTCTACGCAGCAGACGTTTTTTGGATGTTATTTCCAGTCATTGACGTTGGTGTCCAGCACACAGTCACAGCATCGCCTGCAGATCCAAGTCGGGTTTGAGAAAGAGTGGCTGACTGATGGAGCTCTGCTCCCTCCTCTGGATCGAAGCTTGTCATATCTCGAGTATCAGTGCTTTTCCGATTTGCTCCAGCATCTTGCAATACTTTGGCCGTGGCAGTCCACGAAACAGTACGATGTTGTTTTAAGAAGACATGCAGAAAGAGACGTGCAATGGAGCATCAGTTCGAGAATGTGCAGTTCGCAAAAGCAGATCAAGGTGGTTGAGGCCCCAGAAGCGCACCGCTAACACCCGCAACAGCCCTCATGAAAGCTGCCTTGCAAGGTCACCTGAATATGGTCCTGCGTTGCTGAAGGCTGGAGCCATGTTGCAGTCCGAAAGTCAGTTTGGCGAGTGCTCTTTGCCAGGGGCCGTTTTGAAAGTGGGTGAGAGGCCGACGAACCAGCAGAAGACCTCTAGCACCCGCAACAGCACCGCCCTGTGAAAGCTGCCTTGCAAGGTCACCTGAACATGGTCCTGGCATTGCTGAAGGTGGGATCGGAGGCCTTGAGTCAGTTTGGCGGCAATGCTCTTTAACTTTGCCAGAGGCCGCTTGAAAGTGGCCGAGATGCTGGCGAAGGCGGCTCGTAGCGGCACAAACGTGCTTAAGTGGAGACGAAAAACTAATCCGGTTGATGTCGTCTGTTCGCTGCCGAAGGCTGGCGCCGACAAGAACTTTGCTGATGGCATCAGCACTCAGAAGCACGTCTGAGAGCCTCTAGAGCAGTGAAGCTGTCAGTGAAGTTCCTGCTGCTGGAGGCCGGTGCCGACAAGAACTTAGCTGACAGCTGAAGGCATCAGCACTCAGAAGCACGTCTGAGAGCCTCTAGAGCAGTGAAGCTGTCAGTGAAGTTCCTGCTGCTGGAGGCCGGTGCCGACAAGAACTTAGCTGACAGCTCCGGTACCACTGCCTTGATGGAGGTGGGCCACGGCCACTTTGAAGTTGTGCGTTTACTGCTGCATGCGGGTACCGACAAACAGATGTGTAACAATCACGGTTCTGCATTGGTGCTCGCGTGTAAGAGCAGCACGGTCGAAGTCGTGCGTTTGCTGCTGGATGTCCGATGGCAAGCCACAGCGCGGAGAGAGGGAGACAGAGGGGAGAGAGAGAGAGAGAGATAGAGGAGCTCTTTCTTGTGTTCGACGTTTTAGGGCGTGAAAGCAAGATCAAAGCAGCAGACGTTCTTTTGAGGCTTCGGGACTTTGCAGCAACATCCAAACAGCAGACGTTCCTTTTGGAAGTCTTGCAGCTGCTTGGACCTGACAGCAGCATCACAGTTGCAGACGTGTGCTAGGGGCTTGAAGGCTTGAAACCAAAAGCAAAGTAGCAGACGCGGTTTCGAAGGCTTTAAGACTCTGCCAACAAAATCCAAACAGCAGACGTTCATTTTGGGGAGTTTGGCTACCGATTCGATGCAGCAGCTCGAAAAGACACAAGCAGCTGCCGCTTTTAGGGGCTTGAAAGCCCGAAACCAAAATCAAAGTAGCAGACGCGTTTTTGGGGGCCTTGAGACTCTGCCAACAAAATCCTAACAGCAGACGTTCATTTTCGGGAGTCTGGCCACAGATTCAATGCAGGAACTCGAAAAGACACAAGCAGTTGCCGTGTTTTAGGGGCCTGAAAGCCCGAAACCAAAATCAAAGTAGCAGACGCGTTTTTGGGGGCCTTGAGACTCTGCCAACAAAATCCTAACAGCAGACGTTCATTTTCGGGAGTCTGGCCACAGATTCGATGCAGCAGCTCGAAAAAACACAAACAGTTGCCGTGTTTTAGAGGCCTGAAAGCCCGAAACCAAAATCAAAGTAGCAGACGCGTTTTTGGGGCCTTTGAGACTCTGCCAACAAAATCCAAACAGCAGACATTCATTATGGGTTGTATGGCCACAGATTTAATGCAGCAGCTCGAAAAGACACAAGCAGTTGCCGTGTTGTAGGGGCCTGAAAGCCCGAAACCGAAATCAAAGTAGCAGACGCGTTTTTTGGGGGCCTTGAGACTCTGCCAACAAAATCCAAACAGCAGACGTTCATCATGGGCTGTATGGCCACAGATTTAATGCAGCAGCTCGAAAAGACACAAGCAGTTGCCGTGTTTTAGGGGCCTGCAAGCCCGAAACCGAAATCAAAGTAGCAGACGCGTTTTTTGGGGCCTTGAGACTCTGGCAACAAAACCCAAACAGCAGACGTTCATTATGGGCTGTATGGCCACAGATTTAATGCAGCAGCTCGAAAAGACACAAGCAGTTGCCGTGTTTTAGGGGCCTGCAAGCCCGAAACCGAAATCAAAGTAGCAGACACGTTTTTTGGGGCCTTGAGACTCTGGCAAAAACCCAAAGAGACGTCTCAGCAGCAGACAGTGTTTGAGAGGCCCGAAAGCCAAATCAGTAGCAGACGTTCTTTTGGCATCATGTTCCCGCTTCGTTGAGGGTGAGTGAATGACTCAGAACGTCTGAAGCCGCAAACTGGCAGCCTCAGTTTCCTTCTGTGAAAGCCTGGCTCAGGTCCATGTGCGACGACAGCCCTCAGCTCGGACCAGACTAAAACGGACGTGCATGCGCCAGCATGTTTGGATCAGGTATGCGAACAACCGACACAGCTTGCGGCAAAACCATGTTTGCAACGCGCGTGTTTTTGTAGCAGTCTTGACGGAAGCCAGGTTCGAAGCTCAAGTGCTTGCAAGCACGTGCTGACAGCGCAACTTCCACGTCTCAACCTTGAATCCATGAACCCTAAACTCTTTGGCTCAAACGTGAATTTCACCATCAAGCTTCGATGCTTGTGGTTCCGAATCAAAGGCAACCAAGTCCAGCAAACGAGTTTGCGTCGACTTGTATTTACGTGTAAATGGAAAGTGTGCTATGCACACCGGTCCAGCTCCCGTTTCACTTTTCTGTATGTGGCTTCTGCCGCTGTTCGTCTCACTCTTTTGGCGCTTGTACAGGTTTGGTGTGGAGCAACTAAAAACTGATGCTCCATGCCCGCGGGGGTAACGCCCCGAAGGCTGTGCCAGCCTGCTATGCCAAAGCTATAATCGTAACGTTGAGAATTGGCTCTTCAATGAGTTTGGCTGGGACTGTCCGTCTTCGATGTGACTGTGGTGCTGAGCTTTGCAGAAGCCTCGTTTCATTGAACAGCGCATTGCCAACGTTATGCTTTGCCTCGTGCAACAGTGCCGAGCAACAATTTGCAGTTTGACTCTGGCCATCTGAATCGTTGCGTGGCCGCCCTGCATTGTTTTCGCGCCGCAGTGCTGTTCCTTGTCAATTCCTGTGGTGAGCCCGGTAAAAGCCAAGTTGCGGGTCACCAAAAGTGATGTTGGGCGGGCGTGGGTGCACATCATGCCACAGAGTCTTCAGCGGTTTCCATGAGCTGAGCTCCAAAAGGTGGTGCACGGAAACATGCCAAAAATGTAGGAGAGCCGAGAGGGCCTCTCCTGTCCGAGGAGGCTCAAGCATCAGAAACATAGACTGCCCTGTACAGTCACGCTCATGAAGCGTGTTGCAGATGTGTCTGCTCTTGAGGAAGCTCGTGAGAAGGTGTCGAATTTGCCTCAAAGGTTTTTGCTGTTGTCGTTGTGTCACGCATGCTCCTGTGCACACCCTCCAGGTGCGTGCGCTGCAGAAGAAGGTGCGCTCGACTTCGCGACTCTGTCGGTCAGAGAAGCAATGCTGGGCAAATGCTGGTTTAAACCCGCGCCAATGCATTGTTTTGTTGGCAGTGTATGTCTTGAGCGGTTTCAACGTTCTACTGGCCGTCGAGTTCTTGAAATCAAAATCGAAGCGCCAAGACATGGAACAGCCTGAGCAAGAATGCTTCATAGAAGAGCTGTATCTGCGTACCGAGTTGGAAGTTCTGCTAAAGGTCGAGGACCCTGTCACAGCAAAAGATGTAGGTGTTCGGCGTGAGGCGGTGCGGTTCATTGCGAACTACAAGGCAAATGGCTTTGTACAGGAAATGAACTGCGTGCATGGGGTGGCACCCACGTCTTTGCGCACTGCACGTGAATATCTGGACCACTGTGAGAAGCTGGGTGCGCCTCTGCTGAACAGAAGGTTGCGTGACCATGTGGTAGATGCGAATGGACCGGAGGCAACATCCAGCACCCGACGCAATCTGCGCAAGTGGTCGCGGAGATTTCGAAAGCGCTGGTGTTTGAGGTATGGTGCATTGCGGCCGCTGGACGATTTGCCGGCGGATGAAATACAAGCCAAGGCGCAATGGAGTGGGATTGATTGTTTTCTTTCAGTGCCAGAGGTTTCACTTCTGGTGCTTGGGTTCATGCGCCATTGAGGCATATGTTGGACGGGGCTCTCGTGATTTCCTTCTTGCTTCAGATTTTTCTCTGTCACCACAGCAGTGTGGTCGTTTGGACGCAGCTAAAGGCTAAAGTTTGCTTATCTGACATCAGTTTGTCCACAAGCTTCGAGCCCGGTTTCGGACTCTTTGGGGTGTCCCAGATTTGGGGGTCAGCCCAGGCTGCTTGCTTTCTGAATGATTTAAAGCTGCGTTTCGGGCCCCGCTTCGGGGCTCCGAAATCGGGTCCCAAAACTGGGGCCCGCCAACCGGACAGTTTGCACACCTCTGAGGTGGGCCTCTTCTGGCGACATGCAGATTGGCTTCAAGGCAAAGTGCCAGAGAGCCAAGTGCCTGTTTTCATCAACTTGGATGAAACAGCGATTCAGTATTCTTACTACAGTGCAAGCGGCTTGGTGTCTTTGACGCTGTCGGAAAAGCCAAAGGTGATGGTACCCAAGGGTGATCGACGCGGCGGCATAACGCATGTTGCCTTGCTATCCCCCGTGTTGCGAGTTCAACAGCATTTGCCACAAGTGCTGATCTGCAACACGCGGAAGCTTACAAAGACCTTACTCCGTCAGCTTAATGTGAACAAACCCGACAATGTCTGGCTTCTTCGCCGAAGGAGCGCCTGGAACAGCACCGACATCATGGTGTGGCTCATCCAACTGATAGGATACGTGTTTCGCACGAAGTTTTCGGGAATGGGCTTTCAGCCAATCTTGTTAATGGACGCAGCTAGTGTGCATTGGGCGCAACCTGTTGTCAGAGTGGCTCGTCTGCAGAGCATCTTTTTGCTACCAGTGCCCCCCGCTTGCACGCCGTTGGTGCAGCCTTTGGACGTATACGCCTTCTCACGCTACAAGCAGAAATTGGAGTGTTTGTTCCGTGATTATCGAATGGCACAACAAGGTCCCGTAACAGCGCATGCCTGGTTTCACATCTTGTTTCAGGCGATTGATTGGCTCCGAAGCGAGCCGTGGCATCAAGCTTTTTCATTGGTTGGGCTTCCCAACCAAGGTTTGAATTTGCACCAGAATCTTGCAAAGCATTTTTCTGGTGGGCGCTTAAGCTGCCAGCCCGGGCGTCTGTCGCCTGCTGAGCTCGCGACTCTCCTACCGCGGCGGTATAAACTCGTTTATACCGATTGGATCGGTGCTCCAGAGCACATCATGCCGCTCCTCGAGTAATGCAAAAGTAAATGCTTGCATGCTGCAGTGCAGCGCGGCTGAACTGTGACAGGAGAGGCCCTCTTGGCTCACCTATGATTTGGTGCAGTTTTTTGGCTCCGCTTTCTGCACTTCTGGTACGCAATGTCAGAAGAAGCCGCAGCAGCTCCTTCCGACCCTCCTGTAAGGGAGCGAGTCGAGTTGCCCCAGGCTCTGTGAGTGCATGGTTGGACAGAAATGTGTGTTAGACGAAGGTAATTAGCAGTGACCGAAAAGCAGAGTTGAAAGGAAAGCTTGTCAGCCCGCCTACAGCGTTTGAAGCAAGAGCGTGAAGCTGCAAAGGTTTCTGTCTCAGTGAGGTCTTCCCGCTTGTCCTCGTTTTTGAATCTTCTGCATTCCAGGCAGAAGCCCGAAGGGTCATGAAGCAAGTGAAGCAAGAACAGCGCCGTGTCCGTAAGGCGAGGAAGTTGCGTCAACCTGTAGGTTCTGTAATTGCTGTCAAGCTGAGGCAAAGCAGGCAGCGAAGCGTTTGTCGGAGGAAGATTTGCTGAGCCTTGTTGTAGAGAAGCGCAGCGGCTGAAGATCTTCTGGGATCTGCAAAGCTTTTGAAGTTCTCCTTGCGTCTCACGATGCACCTTGCCGTGAAAAAGATAAGGTTGCAGACTGCATTACGCCATGTTTATCTTGTATTATCCTACTTAAGGAGTGATGTTGAGGATGTGGCAGAAAGTCAAACCACGGTTCGTGCCAGTGGGGTTGGAAAGCAGGGATGTTAGTAGTAGAAGTGTTCTAGGGTCCCTGCATGAAGTCCAAGTATTGTAAGAACAGGGGGTGGAGCAGCGAAGCTAACGGTCACAAGCAGTGTGAAGATGTGTGAAGGCTTTCGTCGCGCACTTGAAGTCGCGAAGCAAAATCGAGGCAGCAGACGTGTTTTTGGAGCCCTGGCAAAGCGAAAGCATCCTTAGCGCGTTTGGAGTCGCAAAGCAAAGTCAAGGCAGCAGACGTGCTTTGGGTGAGACCGTGACCACAAAATCCAAACAGCAGACGTTCTTGTTTGGGAGTCTGGCTAACGGGTCAAAGCAGCAGAAACAGTGCTTTAGGATTAAAGAACCAAATCAAAGTAGCAGACGTTGTTTTGGGGTTGCGGGACATTTCTGTCCGAAAAGTGGCCGCCGTGACACCGTTCGCCGTGGATGGAGCACATTCTCTTGGTTTTGCGCGCAGGGGGCCTTTTTAGATTGCCAAAAATGCGGATCCAGAACAGAAAATCGTAACGTTGAATGTGCTGGAAGAAAGAAAATTCGAATCTTTTACAAGGTTTCCAACGTTACGATTTTCCTTTCCCGGTCCGGATTTTTGGCAATCTATTTTGGAATGTGTGTTTTCCTTAGGTTTTGGCAGATTCGTGCTTCAAAAGTGGCAACTGTCACACGGTTTCGCTGTGGACGGAGCAGATTCCTTGGGTTTTGGTACATTCGTGTCCGAAAAGTGGCAACTGTCACACGGTTCTGCTGTAGAGAAGCCATATTCCTTGGATTTTGGCACATTCCAGTCCGGAAATGGCCACCGTCACACGGTTTTGCTGTGGGCGGAGCATGTTCGCTTGTTTTTGGCACGGTGAAAACCACAATCCTCGTAACAGTTGTCATCTTGGCCGCTTGTTTCGCGGTATGTGCGTGGAGCAGGTATATTTCCCGGACTCCGTGTGACAGTTGTCCTTTTTGCAAGCTGTAGTCGTCTATGTGGCCATGACGACATATTGTCGACAATTGCGAAGGTTGTGGGCTCGCGTTGAGAGGGGGCAACAAGTACCAGCTGCCAACGTAACTAGCCAGCTGCGTCTCACTAGCCACAACCGAACTTGAGTTCAAAGTCCCAGTTCCAGTGGCAAACCCGCCATGTCTTCTTCGCCCACGTCTGGGTCCTCCTCATCTTCAGATGAGGATGTACCCATGTGTGATGTTGAGGCACGTCGGTGTTCGCATGTGTAGCAGTTTTTAAAGATGTTCAACAACATATTTCGTCCTGAGGGCGAGTCCTCCTCCAATGCTGACGAGCCCGCAGATCCTAAAGCCCGTGCTCGCTGTGGACAGTTTGTTTGGCCTTGTCCCCGTCAGTACCTGGCAGATGCAGCTTCCCGCAAATCTCGCAATTGCTTGATTCCTGCGGATCTCAGCAACGAGGAAGCTGGTAAGATGTTCCTTCAGGCCCTTGCAAAATGCAACCAGCAATCGAATATCAGTCGATTGCATGTCTTTGACGAGCCCCACAAGAAGTATGACAAGGAGACGGGCCAACGAGCCCGACACAAACACTTCATCTTCAAATTTGTCAGGCCGTTTGCTCATGTAAGACTGGGTCATCTACTTGCGCAGGGTGGTGTGCATGGCCATTTCTCTTTCAACTTGGTCGGCTACCAAGCGTACCTCAAGTATTGTTTGGTGGCCAGTGCTCACAAGCTTGCAGCAGACTTAGACAAAGATCCATGGCATTGGCCTTCTCATGTGACCACACCACAGCTCATGCAACTTTGTCAACAGTCTGTACCCCAGATGGAAGCCCGTAATGGCCAACCTGGAAAGAAGCGAACCTTGATGACATTTTCAGAAATTACGGATGCATTTGTCGAACATTCTGTGCAAACTTGCAAAGACGCTTGGCAGCTTGCTAAAGCACGAAAGATTTCAGGAGATGAGACGCTCTGGAACACACTCGGCGCCCAAGCAAATGTCGCAGGTTTGGTTCACAAAGTTTTGAGTGCGTGGAATGCTGAAAACATGGATTCTGGAAGCTTCGTGGCCGTTCCAGATTTTCTGTTGTCCAGCTTTGTTCCTTTGCCGCAGATCCATGAGCGCTTGGCTTGGTGGTTGCAAGGTGGTTTCAAAGAGGTCACTTTGATTTTGGAGGGACGCGGCGGCCTAGGTAAGACGGAATTCGCGCATTGATGCACGCTTGTGTAGGACAAGCCGGATTTCATTTCATCAATCGTCTGGACCGCCTACGCGACATCAGCTTCGGCCCCAAACAAGGCTTGGTGTTCGATGAAGCCTGCATGGTAGAACGCTCGATTGACGACGTCAAGGGTCTTGTCGACTTGTCAAAGACCCGTGACATTGTGGCCAGAAATGCTGATGGAACCATTCCCAAGCAAACCCCGCGCATTTTCTCCACCAATTGGACTTGGGATCGCTTTTGGCCGAAAGAAGTCGGCACGGTGGAACACAATACGGCCATCAGTCGACGAGTTCTGTGGGTGCGTGTAAACGAGGACATCCGTTTGCTCGCGAATTCCCATGGACCTCTGCGCCAGGAGGACGAGGACGAGGACGAGGAGGATGTGTTTGGACACAACCGCGAGCCAATGTGAGGTTGTGCCTGCCACGCAATTCATAATTCGAATGCTGCATCCTTTTCGCCGTGGAGCTTGAAAAACACCAGCAGCTGACGTGTTTCAGGGTCTGAAAGCCCGAAACCGAAAATCAAAGTAGCAGACGCGTTTTTTGGGGCCTTGAGACTCTGCCAACAAAATCCAAACAGCACACGTTCATTTTGGAGGGTCTGGCAGAAGTTCAAAGCAGCAGCTCAAAAAGACACAAGCAGCTGCCGTGTTTTAGGGACCTGAAAGCCCGAAACCAAAATCAAACTAGCAGACGCGTTTTTTGGGGGCCTTGAGACTCTGCCAACAAAATCCTAACAGCAGACGTTCATTTTCGGGAGACTGGCCACAGATTCAATGCAGGAACTCGAAAAGACACAAGCAGTTGCCGTGTTTTAGGGGCCTGAAAGCCCGAAACCAAAATCAAAGTAGCAGACGCGTTTTTGGGGGCCTTGAGACCCTGCCAACAAAATCCTAACAGCAGACGTTCATTTTCGGGAGTCTGGCCACAGATTCGATGCAGCAGCTCGAAAAGACACAAGCAGTTGTCGTGTTTTAGGGCCCTGAAAGCGCGAAACGAAAATAAAAGCATCAGACGCGTTTTTGGGGGCCTTGAGACTTTAAACCCAAACAGCACACATTCATTTTGGGGAATCTGGCCACAGATCAAAGCAGCAGCTCGAGAAAACCCAAGCAGCTGATGTGTTTGAAATGCTTGAAAAGCGTTAAACAAAGATCAAAGTAGCAGACGCGTTTTTGTGGGCCTTGAGACTTTAAACCCAAACAGCAGACGTTCTGTTGGGGAGTCTGGCCACAAAGGCAAACCAGCAGAAGTGGTTTCGGGAAACGTTTCGATTGCAGTGAAACAGACCCAGGTTGCAGTGCGTACAGTGTGTGTAACTAGGTTCTGTACAGTTACTTGACAGCGCCTCTTGAGCGCACAAGCTTCTTGGAGCAAGCCTACGGCTAGCGGAAATGTGACTAGTCCTCGTTGAACGCAGAAGCTTCTTGGAGCTGTGATTAGTCTACGCAGCAGACGTTTTTTGGATGTTATTTCCAGTCATTGACGTTGGTGTCCAGCACACAGTCACAGCATCGCCTGCAGATCCAAGTCGGGTTTGAGAAAGAGTGGCTGACTGATGGAGCTCTGCTCCCTCCTCTGGATCGAAGCTTGTCATATCTCGAGTATCAGTGCTTTTCCGATTTGCTCCAGCATCTTGCAATACTTTGGCCGTGGCAGTCCACGAAACAGTACGATGTTGTTTTAAGAAGACATGCAGAAAGAGACGTGCAATGGAGCATCAGTTCGAGAATGTGCAGTTCGCAAAAGCAGATCAAGGTGGTTGAGGCCCCAGAAGCGCACCGCTAACACCCGCAACAGCCCTCATGAAAGCTGCCTTGCAAGGTCACCTGAATATGGTCCTGCGTTGCTGAAGGCTGGAGCCATGTTGCAGTCCGAAAGTCAGTTTGGCGAGTGCTCTTTGCCAGGGGCCGTTTTGAAAGTGGGTGAGAGGCCGACGAACCAGCAGAAGACCTCTAGCACCCGCAACAGCACCGCCCTGTGAAAGCTGCCTTGCAAGGTCACCTGAACATGGTCCTGGCATTGCTGAAGGTGGGATCGGAGGCCTTGAGTCAGTTTGGCGGCAATGCTCTTTAACTTTGCCAGAGGCCGCTTGAAAGTGGCCGAGATGCTGGCGAAGGCGGCTCGTAGCGGCACAAACGTGCTTAAGTGGAGACGAAAAACTAATCCGGTTGATGTCGTCTGTTCGCTGCCGAAGGCTGGCGCCGACAAGAACTTTGCTGATGGCATCAGCACTCAGAAGCACGTCTGAGAGCCTCTAGAGCAGTGAAGCTGTCAGTGAAGTTCCTGCTGCTGGAGGCCGGTGCCGACAAGAACTTAGCTGACAGCTGAAGGCATCAGCACTCAGAAGCACGTCTGAGAGCCTCTAGAGCAGTGAAGCTGTCAGTGAAGTTCCTGCTGCTGGAGGCCGGTGCCGACAAGAACTTAGCTGACAGCTCCGGTACCACTGCCTTGATGGAGGTGGGCCACGGCCACTTTGAAGTTGTGCGTTTACTGCTGCATGCGGGTACCGACAAACAGATGTGTAACAATCACGGTTCTGCATTGGTGCTCGCGTGTAAGAGCAGCACGGTCGAAGTCGTGCGTTTGCTGCTGGATGTCCGATGGCAAGCCACAGCGCGGAGAGAGGGAGACAGAGGGGGAGAGAGAGAGAGAGAGAGATAGAGGAGCTCTTTCTTGTGTTCGACGTTTTAGGGCGTGAAAGCAAGATCAAAGCAGCAGACGTTCTTTTGAGGCTTCGGGACTTTGCAGCAACATCCAAACAGCAGACGTTCCTTTTGGAAGTCTTGCAGCTGCTTGGACCTGACAGCAACATCACAGTTGCAGACGTGTGCTAGGGGCTTGAAGGCTTGAAACCAAAATCAAAGTAGCAGACGCGGTTTCGAAGGCTTTAAGACTCTGCCAACAAAATCCAAACAGCAGACGTTCATTTTGGGGAGTTTGGCTACCGATTCGATGCAGCAGCTCGAAAAGACACAAGCAGCTGCCGCTTTTAGGGGCTTGAAAGCCCGAAACCAAAATCAAAGTAGCAGACGCGTTTTTGGGGGCCTTGAGACTCTGCCAACAAAATCCTAACAGCAGACGTTCATTTTCGGGAGTCTGGCCACAGATTCAATGCAGGAACTCGAAAAGACACAAGCAGTTGCCGTGTTTTAGGGGCCTGAAAGCCCGAAACCAAAATCAAAGTAGCAGACGCGTTTTTGGGGGCCTTGAGACTCTGCCAACAAAATCCTAACAGCAGACGTTCATTTTCGGGAGTCTGGCCACAGATTCGATGCAGCAGCTTGAAAAAACACAAACAGTTGCCGTGTTTTAGAGGCCTGAAAGCCCGAAACCAAAATCAAAGTAGCAGACGCGTTTTTGGGGCCTTTGAGACTCTGCCAACAAAATCCAAACAGCAGACATTCATTATGGGTTGTATGGCCACAGATTTAATGCAGCAGCTCGAAAAGACACAAGCAGTTGCCGTGTTGTAGGGGCCTGAAAGCCCGAAACCGAAATCAAAGTAGCAGACGCGTTTTTTTGGGGCCTTGAGACTCTGCCAACAAAATCCAAACAGCAGACGTTCATCATGGGCTGTATGGCCACAGATTTAATGCAGCAGCTCGAAAAGACACAAGCAGTTGCCGTGTTTTAGGGGCCTGCAAGCCCGAAACCGAAATCAAAGTAGCAGACGCGTTTTTTGGGGCCTTGAGACTCTGGCAACAAAACCCAAACAGCAGACGTTCATTATGGGCTGTATGGCCACAGATTTAATGCAGCAGCTCGAAAAGACACAAGCAGTTGCCGTGTTTTAGGGGCCTGCAAGCCCGAAACCGAAATCAAAGTAGCAGACACGTTTTTTGGGGCCTTGAGACTCTGGCAACAAAACCCAAAGAGACGTCTCAGCAGCAGACAGTGTTTGAGAGGCCCGAAAGCCAAATCAGTAGCAGACGTTCTTTTGGCATCATGTTCCCGCTTCGTTGAGGGTGAATGAATGACTCAGAACGTCTGAAGCCGCAAACTGGCAGCCTCAGTTTCCTTCTGTGAAAGCCTGGCTCAGGTCCATGTGCGACGACAGCCCTCAGCTCGGACCAGACTAAAACGGACGTGCATGCGCCAGCATGTTTGGATCAGGTATGCGAACAACCGACACAGCTTGCGGCAAAACCATGTTTGCAACTCGCGTGTTTTTGTAGCAGTCTTGACGGAAGCCAGGTTCGAAGCTCAAGTGCTTGCAAGCACGTGCTGACAGCGCAACTTCCAAGTCTCAACCTTGAATCCATGAACCCTAAACTCTTTGGCTCAAACGTGAATTTCACCATCAAGCTTCGATGCTTGTGGTTCCGAATCAAAGGCAACCAAGTCCAGCAAACGAGTTTGCGTCGACTTGTATTTACGTGTAAATGGAAAGTGTGCTATGCACACCGGTCCAGCTCCCGTTTCACTTTTCTGTATGTGGCTTCTGCCGCTGTTCGTCTCACTCTTTTGGCGCTTGTACAGGTTTGGTGTGGAGCAACTAAAAACTGATGCTCCATGCCCGCGGGGGTAACGCCCCGAAGGCTGTGCCAGCCTGCTATGCCAAAGCTATAATCGTAACGTTGAGAATTGGCTCTTCAATGAGTTTGGCTGGGACTGTCCGTCTTCGATGTGACTGTGGTGCTGAGCTTTGCAGAAGCCTCGTTTCATTGAACAGCGCATTGCCAACGTTATGCTTTGCCTCGTGCAACAGTGCCGAGCAACAATTTGCAGTTTGACTCTGGCCATCTGAATCGTTGCGTGGCCGCCCTGCATTGTTTTCGCGCCGCAGTGCTGTTCCTTGTCAATTCCTGTGGTGAGCCCGGTAAAAGCCAAGTTGCGGGTCACCAAAAGTGATGTTGGGCGGGCGTGGGTGCACATCATGCCACAGAGTCTTCAGCGGTTTCCATGAGCTGAGCTCCAAAAGGTGGTGCACGGAAACATGCCAAAAATGTAGGAGAGCCGAGAGGGCCTCTCCTGTCCGAGGAGGCTCAAGCATCAGAAACATAGACTGCCCTGTACAGTCACGCTCATGAAGCGTGTTGCAGATGTGTCTGCTCTTGAGGAAGCTCGTGAGAAGGTGTCGAATTTGCCTCAAAGGTTTTTGCTGTTGTCGTTGTGTCACGCATGCTCCTGTGCACACCCTCCAGGTGCGTGCGCTGCAGAAGAAGGTGCGCTCGACTTCGCGACTCTGTCGGTCAGAGAAGCAATGCTGGGCAAATGCTGGTTTAAACCCGCGCCAATGCATTGTTTTGTTGGCAGTGTATGTCTTGAGCGGTTTCAACGTTCTACTGGCCGTCGAGTTCTTGAAATCAAAATCGAAGCGCCAAGACATGGAACAGCCTGAGCAAGAATGCTTCATAGAAGAGCTGTATCTGCGTACCGAGTTGGAAGTTCTGCTAAAGGTCGAGGACCCTGTCACAGCAAAAGATGTAGGTGTTCGGCGTGAGGCGGTGCGGTTCATTGCGAACTACAAGGCAAATGGCTTTGTACAGGAAATGAACTGCGTGCATGGGGTGGCACCCACGTCTTTGCGCACTGCACGTGAATATCTGGACCACTGTGAGAAGCTGGGTGCGCCTCTGCTGAACAGAAGGTTGCGTGACCATGTGGTAGATGCGAATGGACCGGAGGCAACATCCAGCACCCGACGCAATCTGCGCAAGTGGTCGCGGAGATTTCGAAAGCGCTGGTGTTTGAGGTATGGTGCATTGCGGCCGCTGGACGATTTGCCGGCGGATGAAATACAAGCCAAGGCGCAATGGAGTGGGATTGATTGTTTTCTTTCAGTGCCAGAGGTTTCACTTCTGGTGCTTGGGTTCATGCGCCATTGAGGCATATGTTGGACGGGGCTCTCGTGATTTCCTTCTTGCTTCAGATTTTTCTCTGTCACCACAGCAGTGTGGTCGTTTGGACGCAGCTAAAGGCTAAAGTTTGCTTATCTGACATCAGTTTGTCCACAAGCTTCGAGCCCGGTTTCGGACTCTTTGGGGTGTCCCAGATTTGGGGGTCAGCCCAGGCTGCTTGCTTTCTGAATGATTTAAAGCTGCGTTTCGGGCCCCGCTTCGGGGCTCCGAAATCGGGTCCCAAAACTGGGGCCCGCCAACCGGACAGTTTGCACACCTCTGAGGTGGGCCTCTTCTGGCGACATGCAGATTGGCTTCAAGGCAAAGTGCCAGAGAGCCAAGTGCCTGTTTTCATCAACTTGGATGAAACAGCGATTCAGTATTCTTACTACAGTGCAAGCGGCTTGGTGTCTTTGACGCTGTCGGAAAAGCCAAAGGTGATGGTACCCAAGGGTGATCGACGCGGCGGCATAACGCATGTTGCCTTGCTATCCCCCGTGTTGCGAGTTCAACAGCATTTGCCACAAGTGCTGATCTGCAACACGCGGAAGCTTACAAAGACCTTACTCCGTCAGCTTAATGTGAACAAACCCGACAATGTCTGGCTTCTTCGCCGAAGGAGCGCCTGGAACAGCACCGACATCATGGTGTGGCTCATCCAACTGATAGGATACGTGTTTCGCACGAAGTTTTCGGGAATGGGCTTTCAGCCAATCTTGTTAATGGACGCAGCTAGTGTGCATTGGGCGCAACCTGTTGTCAGAGTGGCTCGTCTGCAGAGCATCTTTTTGCTACCAGTGCCCCCCGCTTGCACGCCGTTGGTGCAGCCTTTGGACGTATACGCCTTCTCACGCTACAAGCAGAAATTGGAGTGTTTGTTCCGTGATTATCGAATGGCACAACAAGGTCCCGTAACAGCGCATGCCTGGTTTCACATCTTGTTTCAGGCGATTGATTGGCTCCGAAGCGAGCCGTGGCATCAAGCTTTTTCATTGGTTGGGCTTCCCAACCAAGGTTTGAATTTGCACCAGAATCTTGCAAAGCATTTTTCTGGTGGGCGCTTAAGCTGCCAGCCCGGGCGTCTGTCGCCTGCTGAGCTCGCGACTCTCCTACCGCGGCGGTATAAACTCGTTTATACCGATTGGATCGGTGCTCCAGAGCACATCATGCCGCTCCTCGAGTAATGCAAAAGTAAATGCTTGCATGCTGCAGTGCAGCGCGGCTGAACTGTGACAGGAGAGGCCCTCTTGGCTCACCTATGATTTGGTGCAGTTTTTTGGCTCCGCTTTCTGCACTTCTGGTACGCAATGTCAGAAGAAGCCGCAGCAGCTCCTTCCGACCCTCCTGTAAGGGAGCGAGTCGAGTTGCCCCAGGCTCTGTGAGTGCATGGTTGGACAGAAATGTGTGTTAGACGAAGGTAATTAGCAGTGACCGAAAAGCAGAGTTGAAAGGAAAGCTTGTCAGCCCGCCTACAGCGTTTGAAGCAAGAGCGTGAAGCTGCAAAGGTTTCTGTCTCAGTGAGGTCTTCCCGCTTGTCCTCGTTTTTGAATCTTCTGCATTCCAGGCAGAAGCCCGAAGGGTCATGAAGCAAGTGAAGCAAGAACAGCGCCGTGTCCGTAAGGCGAGGAAGTTGCGTCAACCTGTAGGTTCTGTAATTGCTGTCAAGCTGAGGCAAAGCAGGCAGCGAAGCGTTTGTCGGAGGAAGATTTGCTGAGCCTTGTTGTAGAGAAGCGCAGCGGCTGAAGATCTTCTGGGATCTGCAAAGCTTTTGAAGTTCTCCTTGCGTCTCACGATGCACCTTGCCGTGAAAAAGATAAGGTTGCAGACTGCATTACGCCATGTTTATCTTGTATTATCCTACTTAAGGAGTGATGTTGAGGATGTGGCAGAAAGTCAAACCACGGTTCGTGCCAGTGGGGTTGGAAAGCAGGGATGTTAGTAGTAGAAGTGTTCTAGGGTCCCTGCATGAAGTCCAAGTATTGTAAGAACAGGGGGTGGAGCAGCGAAGCTAACGGTCACAAGCAGTGTGAAGATGTGTGAAGGCTTTCGTCGCGCACTTGAAGTCGCGAAGCAAAATCGAGGCAGCAGACGTGTTTTTGGAGCCCTGGCAAAGCGAAAGCATCCTTAGCGCGGTTGGAGTCGCAAAGCAAAGTCAAGGCAGCAGACGTGCTTTGGGTGAGACCGTGACCACAAAATCCAAACAGCAGACGTTCTTGTTTGGGAGTCTGGCTAACGGGTCAAAGCAGCAGAAACAGTGCTTTAGGCTTAAAGAACCAAATCAAAGTAGCAGACGTTGTTTTGGGGTTGCGGGACATTTCTGTCCGAAAAGTGGCCGCCGTGACACCGTTCGCCGTGGATGGAGCACATTCTCTTGGTTTTGCGCGCAGGGGGCCCTTTTAGATTGCCAAAAATGCGGATCCAGAACAGAAAATCGTAACGTTGAATGTGCTGGAAGAAAGAAAATTCGAATCTTTTACAAGGTTTCCAACGTTACGATTTTCCTTTCCCGGTCCGGATTTTTGGCAATCTATTTTGGAATGTGTGTTTTCCTTAGGTTTTGGCAGATTCGTGCTTCAAAAGTGGCAACTGTCACACGGTTTCGCTGTGGACGGAGCAGATTCCTTGGGTTTTGGTACATTCGTGTCCGAAAAGTGGCAACTGTCACACGGTTCTGCTGTAGAGAAGCCATATTCCTTGGATTTTGGCACATTCCAGTCCGGAAATGGCCACCGTCACACGGTTTTGCTGTGGGCGGAGCATGTTCGCTTGTTTTTGGCACGGTGAAAACCACAATCCTCGTAACAGTTGTCATCTTGGCCGCTTGTTTCGCGGTATGTGCGTGGAGCAGGTATATTTCCCGGACTCCGTGTGACAGTTGTCCTTTTTGCAAGCTGTAGTCGTCTATGTGGCCATGAAGACATATTGTTGACAATTGCGAAGGTTGTGGGCTCGCGTTGAGAAGGGGCAACAAGTACCAGCTGCCAACGTAACTAGCCAGCTGCGTCTCACTAGCCACAACCGAACTTGAGTTCAAAGTCCCAGTTCCAGTGGCAAACCCGCCATGTCTTCTTCGCCCACGTCTGGGTCCTCCTCATCTTCAGATGAGGATGTACCCATGTGTGATGTTGAGGCACGTCGGTGTTCGCATGTGTAGCAGTTTTTAAAGATGTTCAACAACATATTTCGTCCTGAGGGCGAGTCCTCCTCCAATGCTGACGAGCCCGCAGATCCTAAAGCCCGTGCTCGCTGTGGACAGTTTGTTTGGCCTTGTCCCCGTCAGTACCTGGCAGATGCAGCTTCCCGCAAATCTCGCAATTGCTTGATTCCTGCGGATCTCAGCAACGAGGAAGCTGGTAAGATGTTCCTTCAGGCCCTTGCAAAATGCAACCAGCAATCGAATATCAGTCGATTGCATGTCTTTGACGAGCCCCACAAGAAGTATGACAAGGAGACGGGCCAACGAGCCCGACACAAACAATTCATCTTCAAATTTGTCAGGCCGTTTGCTCATGTAAGACTGGGTCATCTACTTGCGCAGGGTGGTGTGCATGGCCATTTCTCTTTCAACTTGGTCGGCTACCAAGCGTACCTCAAGTATTGTTTGGTGGCCAGTGCTCACAAGCTTGCAGCAGACTTAGACAAAGATCCATGGCATTGGCCTTCTCATGTGACCACACCACAGCTCATGCAACTTTGTCAACAGTCTGTACCCCAGATGGAAGCCCGTAATGGCCAACCTGGAAAGAAGCGAACCTTGATGACATTTTCAGAAATTACGGATGCATTTGTCGAACATTCTGTGCAAACTTGCAAAGACGCTTGGCAGCTTGCTAAAGCACGAAAGAGTTCAGGAGATGAGACGCTCTGGAACACACTCGGCGCCCAAGCAAATGTCGCAGGTTTGGTTCACAAAGTTTTGAGTGCGTGGAATGCTGAAAACATGGATTCTGGAAGCTTCGTGGCCGTTCCAGATTTTCTGTTGTCCAGCTTTGTTCCTTTGCAGCAGATCCATGAGCGCTTGGCTTGGTGGTTGCAAGGTGGTTTCAAAGAGGTCACTTTGATTTTGGAGGGACGCGGCGGCCTAGGTAAGACGGAATTCGCCTGCGCATTGATGCACGCTTGTGTAGGACAAGCCGGATTTCATTTCATCAATCGTCTGGACCGCCTACGCGACATCAGCTTCGGCCCCAAACAAGGCTTGGTGTTCGATGAAGCCTGCATGGTAGAACGCTCGATTGACGACGTCAAGGGTCTTGTCGACTTGTCAAAGACCCGTGACATTGTGGCCAGAAATGCTGATGGAACCATTCCCAAGCAAACCCCGCGCATTTTCTCCACCAATTGGACTTGGGATCGCTTTTGGCCGAAAGAAGTCGGCACGGTGGAACACAATACGGCCATCAGTCGACGAGTTCTGTGGGTGCGTGTAAACGAGGACATCCGTTTGCTCGCGAATTCCCATGGACCTCGGCGCCAGGAGGACGAGGACGAGGACGAGGAGGATGTGTTTGGACACAACCGCGAGCCAATGTGAGGTTGTGCCTGCCACGCAATTCATAATTCGAATGCTGCATCCTTTTCGCCGTGGAGCTTGAAAAACACCAGCACCTGACGTGTTTCAGGGTCTGAAAGCCCGAAACCGAAAATCAAAGTAGCAGACGCGTTTTTTGGGGCCTTGAGACTCTGCCAACAAAATCCAAACAGCACATGTTCATTTTGGAGGGTCTGGCAGAAGTTCAAAGCAGCAGCTCAAAAAGACACAAGCAGCTGCCGTGTTTTAGGGACCTGAAAGCCCGAAACCAAAATCAAAATAGCAGACGCGTTTTTTGGGGGCCTTGAGACTCTGCCAACAAAATCCTAACAGCAGACGTTCATTTTCGGGAGTCTGGCCACAGATTCAATGCAGGAACTCGAAAAGACACAAGCAGTTGCCGTGTTTTAGGGGCATGAAAGCCCGAAACCAAAATCAAAGTAGCAGACGCGTTTTTGGGGGCCTTGAGACTCTGCCAACAAAATCCTAACAGCAGACGTTCATTTTCGGGCGTCTGGCCACAGATTCGATGCAGCAGCTCGAAAAGACACAAGCAGTTGTCGTGTTTTAGGGCCCTGAAAGCGCGAAACGAAAATAAAAGCATCAGACGCGTTTTTGGGGGCCTTGAGACTTTAAACCCAAACAGCACACATTCATTTTGGGGAATCTGGCCACAGATCAAAGCAGCAGCTCGAGAAAACCCAAGCAGCTGATGTGTTTGAAATGCTTGAAAAGCGTTAAACAAAGATCAAAGTAGCAGACGCGTTTTTGTGGGCCTTGAGACTTTAAACCCAAACAGCAGACGTTCTGTTGGGGAGTCTGGCCACAAAGGCAAACCAGCAGAAGTGGTTTCGGGAAACGTTTCGATTGCAGTGAAACAGACCCAGGTTGCAGTGCGTACAGTGTGTGTAACTAGGTTCTGTACAGTTACTTGACAGCGCCTCTTGAGCGCACAAGCTTCTTGGAGCAAGCCTACGGCTAGCGGAAATGTGACTAGTCCTCGTTGAACGCAGAAGCTTCTTGGAGCTGTGATTGGTCTACGCAGCAGACGTTTTTTGGATGTTATTTCCAGTCATTGACGTTGGTGTCCAGCACACAGTCACAGCATCGCCTGCAGA